GTGACTTCCTTGTTTCCTTTGTTTTTCTTTTTACCTCTGTGGTGTTCATACCAAACAGCATGCAAGACCTACATATTCGGCTACATACCCAAAGTATGCAGAGGAAAAAAAAAGATTCCAAGAAGCTCTTCAATATCTTTTGCAACTTAATAGTAATAATAATAATCTTTATTATCCATGAGGAAATTTGTTTTACCATTATGTATTACAAAATAACAATACATTATTAGAGCAAACAATTTTTATGATAGCACACAAAATATACATTCATACCCCACTTTCTCTTACAATTTATAACAGTAAGTTACATTCTGTTCATGATAAAATATTTTTAGGTTGCCATTTATGGCAGTTTAAATCAGAAATATATATATATCTACAATGAATTATAATTTGAAATATGTCCATCATGTAGACATAGGTAATGTCAACAACAAAAAATTCTTTTGATAGTTATCTCAACATTTCAGAAAAAAAAATAGTATAGCCCTAATATTGACTTCACATAGATCAATACATTTTTATTAAAACTAATGTCAAAATTATTTCCTAGTTGAAGAAATTAAACACATTAGTATTTAAAGGATTTTTAATGTGAAATGAAATATAATTTTTTTTTCTATGTTAGCCTTTAATTATAAAGCCTTCAAATCTTAAAATTTTAGACCTATCCTATAAAAGGAAATAGTTAATAAACAATTATATTATATTATGCTGAAAGTTATAGATGTCTTTACTTATGATTACATTTTATTTTCAATAACAAAATTGTTTCTTTTATAAATCCAAAAAGGTTTTGTTCAATTTCACTTTTGGAAATGGCAAAATAAAAGTGTTTTTATTTTTATTATTTCAGTATTTACCTACCCACTATACACAGATGTATCAAGCTAGTCCACAAGGTACTATATTTCAGCCCATGGGTGTGCCATTGGATGTAGGTATTTTACTGAAGCCAAATTATATCTATGTTTTTTGTTTTAGGCTATGAAGAAAATGATAATTAAAATTAAGCTTCACTATGACTTTTGACGCTTGGATAGACAATACATGTGTAGTTTCAAAAATCTTTTGACTTGAAACCTGGTAAATACACTTAGATTTTTATTTGGGAGAAAATGCCTGGAATATCTTGACCTATATCTACTTTTGAGAGGAAAAATAGAAACTGTGCTGGCCATACTTCTTTCTAGTAGCCCAATATTATTGGAAACCATTGACAAAAGACTAAATCTCAGAGACAAAGCCACATTCACATATACATACAGAGACACACATTTTTTAAATATTTGATGACACATTCCATCTCCTATTACTTCCATCTAATATTTTGTTGATGGCAAGAATTAACATAAAACTACACAAATACTTCCAGTCTATCTAATATTTTGTTGATGGCAAGAATTAACATAAAACTACACACATACTTCCAGTTTATCTAATATTTTGTTGATGGCAAGAATTAACATAAAACTACACAAATACTTCCAGTCTATCTAATATTTTGTTGATGGCAAGAATTAACATAAAACTTCACAAATACTTCCAATTTATCTAATATTTTGTTGATGGCAAGAATTAACATAAAACTACACAAATACTTCCAGTCTATCTAATATTTTGTTGATGGCAAGAATTAACATAAAGCTACACAAATACTTCCAATTTATCTAATATTTTGTTGTTCATGAATAGCTATTTTCTAATAATCACTAATAGGATAAACATATTAGAGCACAGGAGCTCATAAGCTCTACATTTCTTTAAAATGTTTCTATTAAATGCTGAATTAAATATTGCAATTACTAGTAAATGTGTTCTTTACTCATTTTCCTTTCAATTAATTTGTAATTAGTAGGCTATTTAATTTATTGCAGATTCTGAAGAAGAAAACATGTTGTTCTAGGTGATTAGTCAGTGGTCTGTAAAATTTACTGTGGTCTAGAAAAGGGTACTGAAGTAGTTAATGCTGATGTATGGTCCAGAAAGAGAAACTTTAGTTACAATGGTTGAATGGACTGAGGTCTAGCACTGTGTTCCGGGCACGACATGGCCTAAATTGTGCCAATGTGCCAAAAACCCAAAATATCAAATAAACTTGTACTATGTTCCCCTTATTTTTCTGTTTGGATGTGTTTGACATTTACTTGACAGTGACTTTTTTTCAATTATTTTTTTTCATAACAATCTCTGAAACCTGGTAAATACACCTAGATTTTTATTTGGGACAGAATGCCTGGAATATCCTTGACCTATCACTACTTGCACGTTTGAGAGGAAAAGTAAAAATTGTGCTGGCCATTCATCTTTTTCTAGTAGCCCAAAGATTGATATAAAAAAGAAATTATTGAACTGGACACTCATAGATACTTTTATTTGTCTTTCAGCAGGAGCACACATTAATAGATGATAGAACACATCACCATTTTGCATATACATCTGTACCAAAATAAAATTCAACAGCATAGATACCTGTTTCATTTCAAAATGGTAACTATATTTTTTTTAATTAGATAAATTTAAATTTTATGTATTTAATTTTTTAAAAAGTTGTTTTTAATTTTTAAAGGCTATAGTAGTCTTTTTTATTTTATTAACTGAACAAATTACACTTTTTCCTGCTTAATGATTCATCTAAACCAGTTGAACTTGGGGGGGCCTACAGTTAATGAAGGATGAAAGAAAGTAATGATTTTTACGTAATCTATATTTATTTAAATAGTTTCTAAAAGAAATTTGTATTTATAGAATTTTCAACTTCAGGATGTCACTAATACACAAACAATGCTTTTAGAAAGATGGCCTCTTAACTCCACTTTTCCAAAAATGAGAATAATTATCTGTAGTACATGTTTTAACCATGTATTCTCTTTTTAATACTATCTTCTTCATGTTTCATTAAAACTTTAAAAATAATACTTTAGAATCTTTCAATTTAAATGTACAATGTATTCATTGTTATTTAAATCTAAATATAAACAAAAAGAAAATGAAAATAAGACATTGGACTTTACTAAATTGTTTCTGCACAATTATTTTTGTTTATTTTCAGAATTCCACTACTTTGCAGTCTGTGCTGACTGCCACTTTGTATTTTAGTGAAGCCCATGTTAGGCTATTATCAGCCATGTGACTAGATCAGGAACATAGAGTGAAGATAACACAAAATTGTTTACCTTTTAATTTTATTTTTAAAATTTACATGTATTTTTTAAGCTTTTTAAAATTTGAATTTAAACAAATTAAGAAATGGCAACAAAACAGTCACATTATGGTTGATGCCTGAAATGAGCTCTCCAGTCTGCATTCCGAAATCTTGTAACTAGAGCAGAGCACTGTTTTTTTCCTTAGAGCTGTTTTATGAGCTCGTTTCCTTATTCAATATGCAACTTTTCACAGCTATATTTTGTTTATACCAGCTATAACATTTTCCAAAATTCCCTCCTTCAATACAGAATATTTTTTTTTTCCAAAATGAATTGGAATGCCTTATGAATACCCTTTCTTGAAATGTGCAAAATTTCTTTTCATGATGGAAAGAAAAGCTTTTTGCACTTAATTTTTTTTTCTGGACTATTAATTTTTAATAAAAAATTAAGCAGATTTCATCCATACTATATTTTTAATAGCTGTGTTTGTGTTTTTTTTTAATAATTATTTTTAATAGTTTTTAAAAATAGTGAAGCAAGTGCCTTTTATAGAATTTGTAAATACAGTTTTTGCTTCAGTATGATTTGTATGACCTCGGTGTTTTTTTTTTTCACTATTGTTGTTTTCAGATGTTTTGAAAATTTCCTATTGATTCTTGTCAAGATAAACCTTCTGAAAAGTGTTACATGTAAAATTGTTTTCCCTACTTTAAAATGTTAATTAGCAAAGGTTGATCAATTTGATCTTTATTATAGCTGAATTACCACATAGTTACAAATGTACAATTTATTCTTTTTTAAATTTCAGCATATTATAATTTCGTTTTATTAAAAAGAATAATTGTCAGACTGTGGTAAAATATATATAATGGCATTTAAAAAGCAATGAATTATCCAGATTCAACAAAAAGTTTGTTGGGGTTTTTTTTTGGATTGAATAAATAAATTCTTGTACTTACTGTTGGTGCCTATGCACTTCTTTTCTCAGTCTGTTTATTGAAAGTTTATTTAATAGACCTTTAATGTCTTTCTAAAAATAAAATGTTAAAATGAATAATATTATACTTACAGATCTTGTCAAGTTCATATACAAAGTAGAGATGATTTTGACAAAAAGAAAGAAAGGTAGAACAAAATGGTCCTTCATACTAAAAAGAATAAAAATGTTGTGGATACAATGTTTCAGATTTATGTGTGTGTGTGTGTTTTGCAAATACACTAGATCTCAAGTGAAAAATTAAGTAAAAAATATAGTAGAGTAACTATTGCGGAGCAGGCATGTTTGCGGAACAGCTCCTCGAAATTAGTTAAAATCTACTTTATTTTGAAATTTTCTGCTAAACTGATGTAACGGTACTGCGCATGGTCCATTCTCTACATTTCCAATATAAGGGTTTTCTTTCACAGCAGAAAATTAATTTTGACTCCAGGTTAAATTGACAGGTGTGGAATCGTCCATTATTTTTCACGTACCAGGAGAACTGCATAGGTCAGGGCTTAAGGCTTTTTAAATTTGATAATGACCCATCACTTGCATGCTACACATATTTTTAGGTTTATAAATGGATGTGGAAAAACTACATGTCGTAGGAATTTAATTTTTAAAAAATTGGAAGGTGTTAACCTAGCTTTTACCTTTTTAAAGATAGTCACAATTGTAGAACACGATAGATGTCATTTATTTGACCTGCGCATTTAGCTTAATATTTACATAGTGATTTAGATTATCTGAATTTAAATATGAGTTTGTATTAGTAAACAAATTTAAAACATTTAGACAATAATATTACATATAATATATAATTTATGATTACTAGACGTCCAGCAAAAAGAGGACAAATCATATAATATATATATATATATATATATATATATAATATTAATATAACAAAAAAAGAATTAAAGAATAGTGGAAAATAAAATCTTGTAAGGAAAATCAGGGTAGTGTGACATCAATTAAATTAAAGAGGTAAAGAACCAACAGGTGACAATGTGTTGTCTTAAGCTTTAATAAAATAAAATTAATGTAAAGGATAAGGAGTTCAAGTATTATATAAGAATATGCTTTATATAGGCTTTGTTCCGACATTTTTACCGTGTTCCGCAATTGTGACTTCTTAAAAAATCCTGTTCCGTAATTGTGACTGACCATATCTCAGTCGATTTGAATGTTAAATTTTAATATCTGTTGAAAAACTAAACAATGAGTCTATTTTTATCAAAAAATGGATTGGCAATGCCTAGATACTTTTAGTTTTTCCATAGGTCTAACCATTACGGAGCAAAAAATAGAAAACTAAAAGTAGCTGCAAACTGTTCCATAATAGTGACTCTACTCTATATTCAAATTGTATTCAAAATAATGCATTGCAACTACAAACCTAAACAAGGGCTAATTAACATAAAGAGGAGCAAATTATCCTATGATGAAGAAATATAAAATTGAGAATTAGAAGAGCTTGCCTATTCTTTTCGTTGCTTTTGTACAGCGCATTGTTCGTGCTTATAGCATGTTCAGTGCACATTGATCTCTTTTCTGGACATGTGGGATGGGGTACACAACTTAGCTTGTGTCTAGAGTCACACTCAAGCCTCCTTGATAGGTAGCTAAGTGGTTTAAGTCACTAAGCCTCACATCCCTTTAGAAAAATTTTATTTTAAAACTAATCTCAAAAGTTTAGCCAACATAGCTTTGAAAATATGATGTAGTGGCCCAATTTTTTTTTTTCTCATTGTTACTGCCCCTCTCCCTTTTGTTTTCTTCCTCACCAAAAAAAAAAAAGTTATCTCCATGACTTCCTCTGAAATAGCAACAGCAATAAAATGTAAATTTGAATATCATTTTTCTTTTTGCTTTTGTATTTAAAGTTTATATAAGTTTGATATTAAATTTACTTTCCCCTATAGCTAACCATTTAGCTTGGCTTTTTGAAACAAATAAATGATAGAGATCTTCAGACATGAAAGTCTTTCTTTAATTCTAAACATAACACAGAATTGTGAAGTTTCTTTTTTAAATAAGAATTTTTGTAAACCCATTTTCTTGAAATAGCCTTTAATTATTCCAATGCCTATAAAGGTAGATCTAGTAGGAAATGGTAATTATCAGAATAAAATAAAAAGATAAACAAGGATATAAATATTTTGTTCTCATTCTTGAGCCTAATTGTGATGGACGATACCAAAATTGCAGCTTTTTAACAATTTTTATTGAACTCATTGAATAAAATACCTCATTGTCTTTTTCTGCTCTTTAATAGAAAGAGGTTTTAAAAAATGTATACTTTTTAAATAATATACAAAACACAGCTATTGAAAAATGTTTCAACAAAAATTACTGGCCAAATTGGATTAAGAATTAGCGTTTACACTAGAACAACTAATTTCAGCAGTTTATACAAATCTTAATATTTTTGTATGTGCTGTTTGTGCTTGTTGTACAAAGTGAGATATTTAATATCAGATGTCTACTGAAATTATCACTTGCTTAGTGGTTTAACTTCAGTCAATGATTTTTTTAAAACATATAAATAAATAAAAAATTCAGATTATTGAGAGTCAGTCATATAAATTCAAGAATTTTTATAGTAGTGTTCAATTGTTAAAAAATGAATTATATCATTAACTGCAGTTCTTATTTAGACAAAAGTTAATTTAAATATTGTCTTCAAAAATTGTAAAATGCATTTCTTGTACATATAACTACCAAATTTTAAAGAAAAATGAATTTTGTTTGTATGTTTTTTTGTTTTGTTTTAAAAGTATTTTCTATGTAAAATTAGAGAATGACTATGTCGGCAAAAAAAAACTACCACAGTATGAGTGTGTTAAATGACTCTTAACTTGTAAATATTATCTATGTACAAAGTTTTGATGATGGTGATCAAACTACTTTATAGTAAAAAAAAATATGTAGATTCAGAGCAAAATTTGCACCAGGAAGATTCCTCAGAGCTATGGTTCTATCAAAATCTGTCTATGCATATTTTTTTTTTATGCCAGGATCATTATGAAGTCTGAGACCATTATTCTAATTCACTTTCTCTCACACATTTAACATTTCATGTTTTCAAAAATTGTAGGTTATGGTACACATTCACAATAATTTTTTTTTATCCACCAGTTTTTAAATCTTAATAATTTATACTTGTGTACACCTACAAATATCATCAAATGTAGTATTGTTAACCATTAAATTTCAAGTGAAGTGCGATAATTATTCGTATTTTTATTGTTCTTATTGTCATTTAATGCATATGTTTTGAAAAAAAAAAGCAATAAAATGGTGATGTAAATATCAAAGAAAGCCCTTGTTTAAAGGCATGGTCTCGAGCTTTTACTAATTTTTTTGTATACACCGAAGAGCTCCTTTTCAGGGATTATTATTTTTAACATGTTATGTGGGGCCATAGGGAAACATTTTTGGAACTGGCAGATTCTGGCAAACAAATCTGAACTAAGTAGTCTGAAACTTAAGAAGAAACACATGGGCCAAAATATCGTACCTGACTTTATATAATTTGATTTTAAATGAATTTTCTATCATTTTTGTTTGCTTCCATAGTAACTGGTGACCAAATGCTTCTTGTTACTGGTGTACATGTGCTGATCAATTTGTTTGCATGAGGTCCTTTCTTTTTCTCTCCTAAAATGGCTTTTGGTGATTTTTTGAAACATTTTTTTGGTCTTTTTTTTTTCTTATTGACTCTACTGCCATTTGTGAAAGGCAAAAATTTTGTTCTCAGAAATAAATGTTGTAGAAATTCCTAGCAAATGAGTTAGTTGTGAATTTATATTTCTACATATATTTTTATGTCACAGAAAGATTGTCAAAGCACAGATATTCAGACAAAGTACAATGCTCAGATTGTCAGACAATGCCCAAACATTTTAGAGAAATTTTCAACTGTTGTATAACTTACAGTTTACAAAACAGAATATATATCATTTAAATGTTAAGAATAAGAAAACAAGGCTGGTGTCTTTGTAGCATGACTATGACAATATTTAAAAGCTTAAGAAATTTTATATTTTCTAAAACTAGAACTAATTGAAAATCCAGTGAATGCAATAATGTGAAAGAGCTAGTCTAATTCTTAATTCTTTGGGTATAAATCCAAACTATAACAAAGTGTTCAGGAAGTATTTCTTATTTCCTAACACATTTTTTAAAAGTAAGACCTATCTAGTTTCAGCTTCAGAAGTCATCCAATACATTAAACTAAGAATAATTTAATGAATAAAATGTTTTAAACATTTCTGCCTGGTGACAATATCATATCAGACATCATGCAATGCTTGGAACTAATTTTACAAACTAAACCTTTATGTCTATCAGTTTGATTACTAAGAGGGCCAGTGGAACCAAAGATGTCCATCACTCCCACCACCAAGATACACCTAACACATAAGCACAGGTACCTTTTGATGAATAGCTAGCTAGCCAGACACTTTTTCTAGCTTTTCTCACACAAAGTCTTCAGTTAAGCAACTAATCAACGACATCTCCCATCAAGTAGAGCAACTGGTCAATAACATCTACCATCAAGTAGAGCAACAAGTCAACAACATCTACCATCAAGTAGAGCAACTAGTCAACAACAACTACCATCAAGTAGAGCAACTAGTCAGCAATGTCTACCATCAAATAGAGCAACGAGTCAACATCTACGATCAAGTAGAGCAACTAGTCAACAACATCTACCATCAAGTAGAGCAACTAGTCAACAATGTCTACCATCAAGTAGAGCAACTAGTCAACAACATCTACCATCAAGTAAAGCAACTAGTCAACAACAACTACCATCAAGTAGAGCAACTAGTCAACAACGTCTACCATCAAGTAAAGCAACTAGTCAACAACATCTACCATCAAGTAGAGCAACTAGTCAACAATGTCTACCATCAAATAGAGCAACTAGTCAACATCTACCATTAAGTAGAGCAACTAGTCAACAACATCTACCATCAAGTAGAGCAACTAGTCAACAACATCTACCATCAAGTAGAGCAACTAGTCAACAACATCTACCATCAAGTAGAGCAACTAGTCAACAACATCTACCATCAAGTAGAGCAACTCATCAACAACAACTACCATTAAGTATAGCAACTAGTCAACATCTACCATTAAGTAGAGCAACTATTCAACAACATCTACCATCAAGTAGAGCAACTAGTCAACAATGTCTACCATCAAGTAGAGCAACTAGTCAACAACATCTACCATCAAGTAGAGCAACTAGTCAACAACATCTACCATCAAGTAGAGCAACTAGTCAACAACATCTACCATCAAGTAGAGCAACTAGTCAACATCTACCATCAAGTAGAGCAACTAGTCAACAACAACTACCATTAAGTATAGCAACTAGTCAACATCTACCATTAAGTAGAGCAACTATTCAACATCTACCATCAAGTAGAGCAACTAGTCAACAACATCTACCATCAAGTAGAGCAACTAGTCAACAACATCTACCATCAAGTAGAGCAACTAGTCAACATCTACCATCAAGTATAGCAACTAGTCAACATCTACCATCAAGTAGAGCAACTAGTCAACAACAACTACCATTAAGTATAGCAACTAGTCAACATCTACCATTAAGTAGAGCAACTATTCAACATCTACCATCAAGTAGAGCAACTAGTCAACAACAACTACCATTAAGTAGAGCAACTAGTCAGCAATGTCTACCATCAAATAGAGAAACGAGTCAACATCTACGATCAGGTAGAGCAACTAGTCAACAACATCTACCATCAAGTAAAGCAACTAGTCAACAATGTCTACCATCAAGTAGAGCAACTAGTCAACAACAACTACCATCAAGTAGAGCAACTAGTCAACAACAACTACCATTAAGTAGAGCTACTAGTCAACATCTACCATCAAGTAGAGAAGTAAACTCTATAGTGACTTGGTGTGAAATGTTCTTTATTTTTAAATTGATGTCATAAAACTAAGAAATAAAAATAATCCACAATGGATTTACATAAATGCAATCTTGTATGATCTTTTCATACTGTAGAATAGAAGAACTCATTTTGAAAACTTCAATTCTGAACAAAATCTTTAAAATATTAAGAAAAGTAATGAGTTAACAATATGAAATGCAACTACATCCCGAAATCTGATTATCTTAAGGAAAAGTGTTATTCTACTAAAAAAAAATTAGAAAGCCTGTTCTAATTATAAAATATAAATATATTTTATAATTAAAAACATTCTTTTGTTATATCTACTACTTATATGTATCTCCAAAGAAGCAATGTCTGTAAAATTCATCTAACAAAATAGTTTCAGTTAGATAGTGTCGTGATTGATTATGTATTGATTGATTGATTATGTATGTGTCAGATATTAATTTCTACAAATGAATTCAACAAAGTCATAAATAGTGATTTTTAATTAGAGCTATTCACAAAAAGAATTCTGTTCTCTACTCAATTCATTTCTAATTTTCATTTTTAAGTTTCATTAAAAAAATAAATTTAAACAGTATATAATTAAGATCATTTATAATTATATTAAAATAGAACTAAGTTTTAGTTTTAATTTATTTCAGCAAAAAAATAGTTTATACAGCAGTTCCGTTTCATAATATACATTTCAATTGCTTTTTAAATGAGATGACATTGTTTAAATCATGGTGTGACATTGTTTAAATCATGGGACGACTCTTTGTCAGCTGAAACAAAAGGTTATCACACACACAAAAGCAGCAACATTTAAATCTGTTAAAACAAAAGAGTCAGTAGAGTACAATAGGAATTTTTTTTAAAAGTGATCAATAATTTAAAATTAAAATATAAATACGTTTATTGGCAATTATTTGGAATGTAAAAATCAAACAAATAAATAATGGACGGCAGAACAGGTAAAAAAAAAATTTAAATAAATAGCCTATTTATAAACAGTTTGATTAAAAATGGACCGTTTCACTATCACAATACTGAACAACTATAAATGTACATTTGTGACAGCAATAATCTCTTTACAAAGTACAAGTCTGATGACTTCTGTACAGAACAGACAACTGAGGTACTTTGTTATATTATGAAAAAGTACAAAGCAATCATAAAGTGTACACAATTTATTGCAACTATTTCTAGTCAGTCGTTCACCTTTTTAGTGAATATATAACAAAATTTGTTTTGTTTTTTTAAATATAATGTCCATTTCTTTTTTTTTTTCCATTTAAACTTGTTTGAATTCTGATTTGTATTTTTCATATTTCTAGAACAATATAAAATATACAATTGATAAAATATCCTTTTCCTTAATTGCTTAAATTATGAAACAATTATTGTAACCAATGGACACCTCAGACACCAAAACATTTCAATGGAATGTTAGAACAATACTAAGTGAACAATTTACAGCTTTCAATTTGTTTATGTATAACCTTATATTATATAAAATGACACATATTTACACTTGAAATTACATGTCAAGTAATGAAAGGAAAATAAAAACACAACCGGTATGCAGATAAACATAGACCAGATCTGAAAATATCACCTTAATTTTCATCTTTTTATTAAAAATAAATAATAAAAAATTTTAAAAAAAAAAATTTTATTAACTTAAAAAAAAAAATCAAAATTTAAATTTTGTATAAGTCTGTGTGACTCTATGGCTATATTGGATCAAACTATTATTGAGGTTGATTTGAAAGTTTTATTAAATTGCAAGAACCAATGACATAAGCAGTATAAAACCATGCATTGTTGTATAAATACTGATAGAGCCTTTGTAAATAGGTAGAAATGAAAAGCATGTATACAGGTGAAAAAAAAAATGGAAGAAAAGAATTATTGCTTAAAAATTGCCTTTAGTTATTCTGTGAGTAAGTATTACTGTTGATTGAATCTAGGACTTTGAAAATCAGACTAAAAAAATCCAAATCACATAGTTAATTATGTACAAAATGAAATTTAAAACAAAAAACAACAGCTCTAAAAGTAACATTATGCATATTTTGATACATTTGCTACTATGAACGTTTTCTTGTTCAATTAAGACTATTTACAGAGCCAAAGTCCAGCTAGAGTATGGAACATTGGGCAAAACAGAAAATACACACATTGACTGCTTTTTTGAAAATACAACAAATAACTGAATTAGGCTTATTTATATAATTAGCTTCTAATTAATGGCTTTCTCTATATTTCAATGTTTTATTTTTTTTATTTATAACAAGTAGAATGCTTTTGAAATGCTTTTTGTCAATAATGTTAAATATATTTAAATAACACATTGTGCATTTAAGTAATTAAACAATTTACACATTTAATTTTAATTTTAAACAAATTTCTGTCAAATATTAGAATAACAGTAACTCTTCCATTACTAAAAAGAAAATTGATCAGAACAAAAACTATTATAGTTAATTAGATATATCACGTTTTTAAAATCTAGATACATTTTCATGAATTTCTGATGTCACTTTATCAATACATTATCATGATCGGTGTATTGGAACAAAAAAAAGTAGCTTAAAATATATAATGTACAATGAATAAAGTATAAGAAACTATTAATTTTTATACAATACAATTTAAAATGTATTCCAAGTAATCAGGTTATAGATATCCTTAATCTTAAGATTTTCAACAATGTATTCTTGACTTGTCAATCTAAAATATTTCTTTGTTAGACACATCTAGTGTGATATCAGAAATTAAAATTAGCATTTGTCTTTAGAATGTAGTAAAATTTTAACTAATTATTCTCAAACAGAATTATAAATGAAATAATTCT